CTGACTTCCCTCACCTGCAATACCTGCCATAAGACCACGGGTCAGTAGTGTCGATAATAAAGCCTTCTGTTCATAAGAAACTAATCAAAATGAAATCGTTACAGAACTGGAATATATATAGTTTTTCTTCCAAAATAGTATCCTTGTGACAAGTTGTTATGCTCTCTACTTTGCTTTACAGTAAAAGCAAATCCTTCCTTAGTTAAAAATACTGCAATAATTAAATCAAACAAAACTAAAACAGAAACATCTAACAGCTATTTTTCAAGGGAGAATTCCTATTAACCTGATGGTAATTGCTTGTCGCTGTGCTCTTGTTCAGCGTCCTTTAGCAGTTGTCCGTGTTTATGATCGACTACTATGTACGGTGAATACTGTGGAAGCAAAGAGGTGGAACTGTCTTCCTCTTCTTGGCCATTCTTTTCACTGATCCTTGGGAATCCTAACTGGTATTTGGAATTGGCTCTCATCTCGAAAATCATTTCAAATATCTGAAATTCAATGCCAAGATGTAGCTAATAGGATCTATACTAGGACTCGAGTACTGCCTCATATCTATTTAATGGGCACTATTTAAATTCAGACTTCCACTATATTCAACTTTCAAAACTGTCTGCATTGATCCTTATTTCTATCAACGAGGTACTCATTCTCATCAACAACTCACCTGAAGCCTTACTCTCGACACACCCTCAAGTACAGTCTGATTACGATAGTGATGCTCTATGCAGGACAGCAATATCCTATAGGCTTGTATGGCATATGATGATGGCAGTTCCCATAATTTTTTCTTAAAGATCCTTATCAAACCTGCTACTGCTGCAATAATGTCTGCAGTCTCACTCTCCCTCACTACTTGCACACAGTCACCAGCACTTGAGTATGGGGCAATGACAATCTGAAAAATACACAATGAAATTTTTTACCCAACAATCCCTTCTCAGTGCTTTGTATTTTATTAGCCAAATCCTTATCAAATGTATGAATCTAGGGAATTGTATTTGACCAAACTCATTGCTGGACAAGTATTTTTATTTGTTAAAATTGAGCAAGAAGTTTAGTTTCCTCTATAATTCTTACATTGTAGAATATTTTATGCTAATGATATATTATCCAAGATAAAATTTCATATAAACATTTTGCTGAAGAACTGCAAATCGTCAAGCTGAAGCACACGCTAGCCACAGTAAAACAGCTAGTCATAATGAAGTACTTACCTTTTCCAGCATGTTGAGAATATCTGGCACAACAGATGATTTCTGAGTGATAGCTATGTGAACCAGCAAGTTGACGGCTGCGGTTCTGACTCCTACATTGCGCTCTGTCTCAATGCCTTCCATTTGTATAGTAACAACATTTCTAACCATCTCAGTCCCGTACAAGTACCTGAACAAGAAGAAATTTTGAAACCTTATTGAAATACATAAAACAGGCAAATGAAGGAGTAAGAGAGAGAGAGAGAGAGAGAGAGAGAGAGAGAGAGAGAGAGAGAGAGAGAGAGAGAGAGAGAGAGAGAGAGAGAGAGGGAGAGAGAGAGGGAGAGAGAGAGGGAGAGAGAGAGGGAGGGAGAGAGGGAGGGAGAGAGGGAGGGAGAGAGGGAGACAGAGAGGGAGACAGAGAGGGAGACAGAGCAGAAATGTACAGTAACAAGCACACGTGCATATAAGACATTTGGGGAAATAACAATTACAGCAGTCATAAGAATAAAAAAGTCTTAATGATAAAAAAGAAAAGAATTTTGATACCTATTATTATTGTACACATCAGACAATATTGCTAGCGCCTTGGTTCGGATGTTTGGTCTTGGGTCTCGTCGATAGTACTGGTGCAGAAGCGTTCCTAAATTAGCCAACCAGTGTGGGCGCAGCGGGTCCATAGCTTGGGCTTGGTGGTCTAAAAGACGTAAGACTGACGATTCCTGAAAAACAGCATATGTCACAGTAAGAAATCAAATTGATCTACTACATCTATATAGACTTAAGGGCCTAGGATAAGTATAAATATATTCTTACTCTTCAAGAACAATTTGGTAGTAAGAACCAAGCAAGTCCAATTATGATTTTAAAATTTATTGCATCTGATGCTCACTATGCTACAGCAACTAGTAAGTCAGCTGACTCATTACCCTCAAACTGAAGTGATTGTTGTGCATGAGCAAGTTCATGGCATGCCTGATCAACAAAGAAACACACACAAAATATTCCCTTGGCAAAGTCAGCTACCAATATTCCTCTTCATTCCCCCTCCACCTTCTTCAACTGCTATTAGTAAATAAAAGGTGATTGGTTTGCAGCATGAAATTCTCTGTGGCCACCTCCCATGACCAACAAGCAATGTCATGTTCTACCTTTCTGTTACTTGCGCTTATTCTGCCTGTTTCATTGAGGCTATCACTCCCCTCCTCATGAGGCTTTGATCTCTGTCTCCCCTTGCTGCGCATTGGCGAGACTGAAATGGCCCTTTTATGTAGAGTGAGCAACCATTTTCCTCATGACTCCAC